GGGGGGGGGGGGTATAATGGTGTTTCGGGATGTAGACACTCACTTTTTCAAAGGCACTGTTCCCTGGGGCCCCTGCCCTGCGCCGTTCCTGGCGTCGGTGACCCGGCAGGCCACCATGTTATACGCTGAAAGCAGTTCTACAATGTTACATAACTATGTTAACTACAAATGTGTTCAGGTTCACAGGTGCATGCCCGGCTCCTGCGTTACCGGATCGTAGCCGCCTCTTTGATCAGTCCTGGGCGCTAAATCGAAATCGGCCAATGCTGCGGCGAGTCTTTGCAGTCGAGTAACAGAAGCGGGCCCAGAACGGACCAATCAAGACACACGGCGTATTCTTGACTGCGATCTTCAGTGAAAAATGACACGGCGACTGTACACTGCCAATCCACCTGGTCATTTCTTCGCCATTTATTTGATTATTCTGTTTGCACGAAAGAACGTAAAGTTCGCGAGTGCGTTACAGTGCGATCGGATAAGTCGACACGATCACGTGAAATCGCACGCGCTCAGGACGGACGAACGTGCTGAGAACGAGAACGCGCGATCGCTCGCCGATCGTACGTCCTCGTTATCTTCGCCGTGGCGCGACAGCCTTTCTTACGCGAGTCAATGCAGAGACGACACAACCAGGAGCACAGGTGCAGGCGAGATGCGGGCAAAACGGTGATACGATACGACGATAACGCCACGGGGCGTCCATACCTTTCTCCTGTTTTCGTCTCTTCCGCTTATTGCAGATCTTCACCGCGCATATGCTGAGGATGATGGCGACGAGGAAGAAGAGGATACCGCCTACGACGCCCGCGGTGATCGCTTTGTGCTTAACGCGAGCCGGCACGGGGAACTTCACCTGGTCGCTCGCGCCGTAATTCGTAGCCGAGTTGGCGAACACTTGGAAATAGTAGGTCCTACCACCGACCAGGTTCTTCACTGTGGGCGTTCACGTTAAACGGGAAATCGCATGAAAGTCGCTGTGACTCGCCGGAAAAATCGGATAAGTAGTATTGGTCTGTGAGTAGAAGTGGAACTCGGTGGTGTGGAGATACCCCTGTCCGACGCTAGTAGGAACTAGTGAGAACTCTTACGCAAGATAATCGTGCCGTACGGTTAAAGAGGGAACGGCACACGAGGTAAGAAGAAGAGATGCTGCGCAATAGAATCGATCAATAGCGTCCAGGAGTAAATCTTCTTGATGGCAATATTATTGGAACTGATACATTGTACAATAACTGTCACCGCCTTTATTTATTTTCGAAATATAAAAGTACACATTGAAAAACATTTTGTACTTGTGTCGGTATCGAGCCGTTGTTAACATTTTTGTGTTCAACTTTTGACACACATCTGTGTGTTAATTTAATATATTGCACTCGTGTTATCTCATATATATATTTCGTGTTGAGTCGATATTCAACGTGTGCAAGTTAAAATAGTACATTTTGTATTTCGGTGTCGATTAACGTGTTAATTTTGCGTTAAACTTTGACGATATTCATATTACTTTCAGCATACTCAACTTATGTTAAATTAACACAAAAATTTGCGTGGACCGTTTGGAGGATATAAAATGTATTGAATTTGACACGAAATTACGTGGGGGAGAAATTTATCCGACGGAAATGACATTCGATACCAATGGTCATCGCTTCAAACATCTTCTGCGAAATTTTTTCCGTCTCTATCTAGCTAATAAAGTTCTTTTTTTTTTCGATGTTCAAATTAGTAATCGTTATTGCCCCATCCTGTGTACTGTTTTAATAACTCGAGTATTGATCTCAGTAATATTGAATCAAGAAAATTCGCTCCAATTACAGCGCTGTCGACCAATTCTATCGATACAACAGCATTTCCTTCCCGATGCGGCGCGATGGGGAGGTGCGTGTCTCTCTCTCACCTAAATAACTGGTCTCCTCGGGTCGTATTTGGCCCTTGTTGAGCGTTTTCCAAGGTCCGTCCGTCTTGTACTTGATAGTGTAGTATTGGATAAGATGACTACGTTCCAAAGGAGGTTGCCAGGTTATCAGGAAACCGTTGCTGATCTCCGTCACCGTGAGGTTCCGCGGGGTACCTGGCTTTGGTCCTGGTGGTGCAAAAGGTCACGCTGGTCAGTAGCGTTCGTCGTCGTCGGTGGTGGTGATGGTAACACGTAACGCGAATACTCGTTCTATTTTTCGTCCCGCTCGCGTGACGACGTCTCACGCAGTTTCACATTGTTTAATCTGCTTTATACCGCGCGGCGCGATTGACGAGTTAGTTTCCGTCGATAAAGCGGTAAGCGTTGTTTCATCACGTATATACGTACGTTACATTTTATTTTACACACACACACACACACACACACACACACACACACACACACACACACAGAGAGAGAGAGAGAGAGAGAGAGAGAGAGAGAGAGAGAGAGAGAGAGATAATGATAAAATTCTCCCTCTCATATGCGCGCGCGCGACTTGTATCGTGCACGCAAAGTGAAAACAAAAGGAAAAGAAAAAAATAAATAAAAGCCGACGTGGGAGAAATCTCTTTGGCGCCGGCGAATAAATATATCGCCGTCGTAACTCCGAAATAATTCCGGTAACGCACGCCGAGTTGCAATGCCAGTAGGAAACTTTTTGATGGAAACGTTAACGCGCGCCGTTCCGACCACACAGCGACATTTTCACATCTATCAAACCCCATCGCGCTATATCGCGTCATCGAGTTGTAATCGTCTGATTTTTTTCATCATCGCGTATCTGGGACGACGACTGCGATATGCACTTATGAAAAAAAATTCTTTCGCGTCGCATTCATGCAAACGCGCCTCCTCTCCCTCCCCCGGCCGCCGGTGCACGATGGATTATAATCCTACGCTTTCGAGATGGATGAATTATTTTAAATATTCGCGCATCGAGTTTATATTATAATTCGAGCTCCCCTTTTCCTCCTCTCTTTCTCTTTTTGTTCACCAACTTGCGTGCGCCCGCGATATAACGATGTGTGATAACAAGATAAACGGATCATGATCGATATGTGTCGCGCGAAACGACTCACGAAGTGTCACGAGCGTTTATATTTATATGATTATGTAACGCGAATAAGGGAACGAGAAACTTCCGGAGTTTTGCCATTAAATCCACGTGTTTTCTTCTCACGATCTTCTCCCTCGCTGACTAAGGCGGTAGGTGGAAATGAGACGACTATTGATGTAACTCCTTAACTGGATTAGCTAGGCATGAGGTCAGCTTCTTTCATCATTTATTACACACACACATAATGTGTTACGGCCTAATTGCTTCCGGCGTACGCGCGCGTTAACCTTATTTAACGTCCGAGCTGCCCCCTCCGAACTGCTGTTTCTTCTCGGTAACGACGCGACGTCGCGATTCAAAATGCGTGAGATTTCTAGAGGGAAGAGAGAGGCAAGACAAAAAAAGAAGAAAGAAAGAAAGAAAAGAAAAACAAGGAAGAAAACGGCCATGTCCGACAGGCATGGCCGTTAACTCGCACGGGTAGGTGCGAATGTTCGATTCGACGTATTTTGCTTTCCGTCATATTACGACTCGCCCGATCTCTGGCGCTGCTGGTTTATTCCGACAAAGCAAACATTCCCGTTTCCCCGGCTCCTATCCATTTAATGGCCGCATTCTCGGGAAATATCTCGGCGGAATTTACGAAATTGACGGAAATTGCCTCGTTGTTGCGGAATCGAAGTCGGGAGAGCGTAAAAACTATATTACGATTGTTTGCTCCGTTGATTACACGCAAACGGACGGACCGGTAAATTTCTTCTTCGATCAGATGGTTTACGCGCGGCCACGCGCGTGTGGACGCGTTGCTCTTTCACGTTTCCGTATTGGAGACGCCGGCGAGCTCGTCAAAATCCGCGGGGGGAAGGGGGGGATTTACCGTCGCGTTGACGTGTTCCGAGCGATTCTTAGCGCTATTCAAATTGATCGGCGCCGCATGAAGCCGCCGGGGCAAGATCGCTTTCGGGATCAAAGGAAAGAGGGAGATTTCTCGCGGGACGTGTGTGAATCGTGCACAATTCGGACGCGTCGACGAGCTCAGCGAAGGAGAAGCGAAGCGACCGTCGCCCAAAAACCCATCGTCGCTGTTTTTGTCGTAGCAATTTTTGGACAGTTGAACGAAATTCTTCTTTTTCTTTCTCTCTCTCTCTCTCTCTCTCTCTCTTTCATTCTCTCTGTCTCTCTCTTCCTCTCTTTCTCCCGGCAGTCCTCCCCCACACTGTCGCGTAATTCGGATGCGCGCATGTGAGAGATAGCTGGCTTGGTTTGGCCGCGAGATTGCGATATTAACGTTTTGCATTGTTTCGAGAATTCGCCTGATAAAATATATGAAGTTATCCTCTTTCCCTCCTTCGCCCCGTCCCGCGGACCGCCCATTACCGGACGCTTTTTCTCGCCTCTGCCCGGCGATAAAGAGGATTTCATTATTATTTTTTGCGCGTAACGCCCGCGTTATTCTCCCGCGGAGGAATACGTGCCGGCGCGGCCGGGGATTATATTTATAAAAATACCGGCAATGCGCCATAAAATGGATCGATATTAATACCGTCGGGAAAATACGCGGGCGGGCAACGCGTGTGTGACGTGTAAAGAGCGCCTCCCCCTCCCACCGCACCGAAATCATCGTGCACACGTCGTCGAAGCGCAGCATCTCTCGTCGAAATTTTATTTTTATCCGGTCACCGACGCGCTTCCTCTTCCTAACCCCGTCTTTCTCGCGTGTGACGATTCGAATATGATCGAGGACCGGCGGCAAACGTGGGGAAAAATCGGCGCGACTGCAACTTCTTCCTTGGCCCTCCGCGCGTTCTCTCTCTCTCTCTCTCTCTTTCTCTCTCGGAGCGAAGAGTAGTGTTCGGAACCGTCTGCTATGTGCAAAATGTATGACGTTATTTCCTGCTTTCCCTCGCGGAATGCCCGCCGCTACGCCGGTACGCCGGAGCTAAGAGGATTTCGTTTTTATTTTCTTCCCGTATCGCTCTCCCGCGTCGTTGTACCCGCCGAATACTGCAAGCGCGAATTGCACGCGCGCGTATTCGTTCTCATTGTCCTGTCAGATCCCACGACACTCGTTTTCGTGTCCACTATAGCACGTAATGGCGATTAATCTTGCGGCGCGCGAAACGCGAGAGAGAAAGAGAGAGGCTGTGGGAGGTGCTGTGCGCGGCTTTTCGAGCTCTACCGTCCATTTTCGCGCGGCGCGAAGAATTCGCAACGAGACGCGCGATAAGATAAGCGCAATCGCACACGGTGTGAATGTTAATATACCGCGGAGTATTACACGCTAAATGCACGCAGCGGAGATAAAAGGGAGAGAGAGAGAGAGAGAGATGTGTGGGCGGTATGAAAGTGCCGATGCTTTCGAGCGTCCGCGGAACGCGACGGTCGTTTCGTAACGTCGGCGACGCAGCGCGTTGAGAAATAACGTTCGCGCGGGACATCTTTTTCCTGTATGTGTATGTGCGCGTGTGTGTGTAACGTAAATTTGACGATGTAAGAGACAAAAAGAACGTGTACCTTTCGGCCGTATGATGGTTGGAAACATGGGGTTTCCCGTGGAATCGGTCGGTAATATGAGAGTGCTATAATCAAGGATGTCTGAAACGAAAAAAAAAAGAAAAGAATACGAGAAAAGAAATGAAAATCAAAGGAAAGTCGATGAGAATGAGGACAGAGGTGAGATTAATCGGAGCCAGTTGTCTCTCTTTCTCACGGGGCGTCGAAGACACTGCGACGTGTGTCTACATTGCAAGTCTACAAAGTGTGTGAGTATCGTGCGGGTAGATCTTTAGATTCTCACGGCTGAAATTCAAGCGAGCACACCGTTAAGCTGTACTAATCGCGTTGGGGTCGGTTTCATCAATGTCAATTAACTCTAACCGCAGCCTAGATACCTCTTTCCAGACCTCCTTCTGGCCGCGGCTCGCGTGATACAGGGTCATTCAAAGTTGGAGATCGATGATTAATTCTCGAACGAACGTGTCGGTAGCGGGCTCGCTTTAGAATTTTGCGGACTTTTCGAGGAGGATAATTTGAGAAATTTCACTCCGCGGGTAATGGATAAATAAATGCTTATTCCGTGGTTAACATCGAACGTCCGAAAGTAGACGGGACTGCAAACTCCGAGGCTGAGAGACGAGAATCGCGCGAAAAATACGTGAAACGTTTACGAATAAAATATTCATGAAGGAAGTTTCGCTTGACGATGAATCGACTTTCGGAAGTTACCTCCTCAAAGGATTCCCCGCCGCGAAAGCCGTTGTCGCTCGAGTGCTTCAGTACGCTCTCGCACGTGAACGGCGGTATGGAGAGAAGGAAAATTTAGTTAACCGCGGTTAACCAGCGTTGTTGAAGCCGGCCCCTTTGTCGACGCGGGTTTAACGAGCGAAATCGATGACGATGCGGGCATATGCGTGGGGTAGAAGCGTAAGAAGCCAAAAAAGCGGTACAGCGAAAGAGAGAGACAGAGAAGAAAAAAGAAGGAGTAGGACGANGGGGGGGGGGGGGGATAGAGAGAGACACGGGAGAAACGCTTGAAGGGTAACCAGATAGAAATCCCTAGACGCCGGTATCGGGGATGCTCGGGGTACGGTGTGTACAAATGGAAGGCAATGAACCGGTGGATTCGAGGGAAGGAAATAAAAGCGGAAGCAGAATGAACGGCTCGATGGGTTTTCCGATACGATAAGTCGCCGCGGAAGTCTCCGTTCCTTCTCCGTCTATTTTTCTCCGCGTTTCCTCCGCGCGCCTCATTCCGTATCCGCATTCTCCCCTTTCCTTATCTTGTTGCATCCTTCTCACCCTTTCTGCCGCCGCTGCTGCCCACCCATCCCACTTTCTCAGCTTCTACGGGGTCTTAACCGGAGGAGGAAGTCGCGTGACTTTTCGGCTCGCGGATCGATACTCTCCGATGAGAGAGGATCGCAGACGGTCGCGCGACAGACGAGAGAGAGAGAGAGAGAGAGAGAGGAAATGATATTTCCCGCGCGCGAATTTCCCTTCGGCGAGTAATCGCGAGACGCCGTTCTCAGTTCACGAGTATTCGCGCGACTATTCGCGGATATCCCGCGGTACTCAGAGCCAATCATGTTTCGCTGGTTAACGGATTTGAAGCAGCGACCGTAGGTCTTAACGTCTCGGAGAAAACAAGTTTTGTCACAGTCCCCGGCCATATTGTCAGACGCACCTTAACTTTTTACAATTCGTCGACTTCCGAGCACCGGCTTTACAATACGGCTCACTTATCGATCGAATTATGTTAAGGAACCATTGTTCTATGAAAGGTCTATTTTACGACGTCATTTCACTTGGCTGTTATAATGACCTTGAACAAATATGAACCCGCGCTGGTCGCATTGTCGATAACAACGAGAACGTGCGACGTGAGACGCGTTTTGAGTATGTGTCAATTGAAATTTGGCTTTATTTTTGCTTATTTGCGACTTGAAACTTCAAATCCCTCGCTTACTAACGGAAAAATTAATTCTGGTGTGAAAGTTATTAATATTGTTTGCAAAAATGATGGGTGAAGCAGGTGATTTGACATCTCAGAAGGTTGCAGAGGCAAAAGCGCTGTTCGACACTGAAAATTACTCCAATCGAGTAAACGTAAAATCAGTAGCTTTTCTTCTCCTCCTAATCTGTCTTTTATTAAAAAATCAAAGTGCATCTAATAACATGGCCGGGGACTGTAGAACAACAAATCGTTTGTTAATATAATGACAGCAGAAAAATTTGTCATACGGGAAAAATAATTTTGCTGTTGTAGGCACGTCGTTGCGACAGCAATAAAATCTAATTAGCACAACCGAATTATTTTGCTATCCATATATCCAGCGAATAGCGATTATTATTCTTAATAAATCTTCCCGCTGTTCCAATGAATTTTGTTGTTGTCACTATGTTAACAAACAATTTGTTGGCCCAGCAAATTTGTTTTCTCCATCTCGCGCGTTTAAATTCAAAGTAGGTGACGATGACGAGACTCTTCGTGCGCGACGCGTTGCATTTTCAAACTGTTTCTCTTCCGTCGAGTTTCTTCGTCGTTTTCTTTTTTTACACGATTCCGGTATGCGACTCACGTTATCGCGACACGGTGCTGTCTAATTCATTCGACCCTTACCACTTTGATCCGTAGCTGCGGCTTGACCAGCACTCGAGGAGGGGGTCGCCGACTGAGTCAGGGCAACGTCTTGTGAGAGCGCAGCGATAGAGATGGTTAGCGAAAGGACAGTTGGCACAGATTAGTTCAGTACAGATTATCTCGGCTTGCACGAAGATTAGTTTGTTAGTCGGTAAACAGAGCGCCGCTAATCGTAAACAGCCGCCAAATTAGTTGGATTCGTGGCAATAAGATACAGACTGGATTATTCATGGCAAATTTCTAAATACGGATACGCTCGATCAGTAATTACGATCAGTCGTGAGGTTAATCAATGGGTGGTTCCGCTAGAAAACAGCCGCTCATTAGATCTGTCTTCTACCGGTCACGCGCAAATTTACCGAGAGAATTTTAACGGCCCCGAAAATTTCATTATTAGGATATATAATGTAGTTTCCGTTACCGAGGGTCCTGACTGTGATGACTTTGCTCAGCAATCCCTCGCCCAGAGCGTTCTTCCCGATTACCTGGAACTCGTAGAGCGTGCTAGGCGTGAGTCTGTTGATCGTCACCGTTGTGCTGCCCGACGGAGTCACGGGGATTGTCTTCCAATCCGAAGTTCCTGATTCCCTGTGCCTGCGGGGAGAGGCGCAGCACGAAAAACAGAACGTGACTGTATAAAAAATCTCACAAAGTCGGGCATGAACGTACGCGGGGGGAGGGGGGGGGAGCACTTGAATCCCTTCCCTCAAATTTTGACAAGGAGAAACAATTAAATCATAAACATAAAGAAATGTAATTGATATATTACACTCTACATTCTATCAAAAAGTTACAGTACATATTCTGTAATTAGAAGCTAATGACGAGGTATTAGCGATGAAATTATAAAAATGAATGCAATGAAAATTGCTGCAATTTCGCCACCGGACGTGACCCAACCTTGGCCCAACCGTACACACAATGAGCACCAGTGAAAGGTCTTTTAGCACATTGTAAAAACCTAGTTGCGGTCAACAACACCGGAAAATTGCCTTGGATTATGTATGCTAAATGTGCACAGAAAAATGGTGCTCGCGGAAAGAAAGAGGCTGGGAGGATGAGTATTAAAGAAATTTACTGAAAATTCGCGAAGGTTGCTTTTTAGCATAAGTGTGCCAATTGGTTTTGTGCGAGGGTAAATTTTTGCCCTTTATTTATATTTTCCCCTTTCCTCGATTAAAATTCCAGTCACGTTCACGGAGCCTTAAAGGTTTCGGGACTCTAATCGTCATCCCTCTGATACGTCTGAGTTTATTCGAACAAGCGAATTTGGCGAAATAAGAAATAATGATCAGCCGGTTTGCGAAGGAATCGGGCAAATTCTGCTTCCGATAAAATTATTTCGACGAGAGGGAGGCCCGATTTCAATCGTTATCCGGCCAAGGCGATTATCCTTCGCGTCGATGGACGAACCTTAAATGATAATACCTATTAACCTATCCCGTGTACCCACCAGATAGTATAATCTTGCTTGTAATCAGGACCGCCGGAATAGCCTGGTAACCAGTTTAGCGTTACCGAGAATTGCGTGGCAGTGCCTGTCACGTTGTAAGGTGCATGGGGTTGCGTGCCTTCGACGATCAGCTGCGTCGAGGACGAGATGGTGGCGACTTCGTTGGAGGCGACGCAGTGATACAGTCCGAAATCCGTGCGCCGAAGGCCCTCTATGGTTAAATTGCCGCCGAAGGTCTTCGCGCGATTGCGTTGGATGGGTCCCTCTCTCTGGGGTGGTTTTGGGAACGTTTTATAAAATGCCACGCACGCGAGACAAAGCTCAATAAAGCATAATACGGAAAGTACAATCCGGAAGCTACAGCTCGAGTGACACGAAAGCCTGAAAGCTTGTTAACCGTTGTTGTCCGACGGTCTTTCGGGCTTTCGCGTTAATTTTGACGACTATCTTAATTGCATTTCTAATTAAACTACGGTAAAATCATTTTGTATATGCGCGATAAAGATGATGATAATGATAATAGTAATAATAAAAATGAATAATAAAGGAAGAGCAAAGATCAACATACCCATTTTGTATTTCGGCTCTAAAACACTGGTGAAAGTGTAGAATTAAAATCTATGTGCAAAGCGGCCAACATTTCTATATCAAAATTGTCTTTCTAAAAATTATTACATATTGTCATATGTGAATTATTACATATCAACATGGGTGGTATATGTTGATTTGCCATACCTAAGTCAGTTTTTGTGCTTTTCTTCTAACAATAAATACTTTCAGGGAAAAAAAACGTAATTTTCTCTGTGTCCGTAAAGGATCAGGGAAGGGCAGTTTTGCCAATGAAATAACAAGAAAGGCACACTTCCTCGCGCAATTAAAAATTCAGATAATTAAGAAAAAAACGACGTTTAAAAATGAAATGAGAGCGGACGATGGTGTGACAGTGAGAGAGCTTCGTTGGAGGAATGAATTTCGGAGCGGATATCCGGCCGATGACTTTACCCGATGCCATTGTATCGTCGGTTTCTGCGTTCCCTCGGCCTCCTGTGCGTCGCAGTGCATCTCGACCGTCTCGCCCACCTTCCGCGTATACATTGTTTCTGGCTCGAGGGTGAAAACAGGCGGATTTCGCACGAGGACCTCCATCGGACCCGAACTGCCCTGCGTGCCCTGGGCGTTATAAGGCGTGCAGGTATATCTGCCTTGGTGATTCTCATTGACCCGTGTAAAGAGCAGGGAGCCGTTGTTCATGATAACGATGTCCTTCGTCTGATAAGGCTCGAGTAGGCGCTTGTCCTTGGTCCAGGTCACGTATTGCAGGGGTGGGTTGGCTTTTATGTAACACTGGACCACACCAGCCAGACGGAACGGCAGGTACTGGATGGTGGGGGTGAACGTGACCTTCGCCGGGTCTGAAACACCGCGAGATCACACGCGTGTCGGGGAATGTTAATCCTCTGGATTAGCACTCGCGCGGGCTCTATTAAGAAAAAGGAAAAAGAAAGCCCACTGATCGAATTTGTTTCTTCCAATTTCCCTTTCCCTGTGGGGACACACCGAGGGGAACTCTTTGGAAAATGTCAATTCAACCTGTGGATTCTCCAGTGATAATCTCTCCCCTCGAGCACATCTTACATTCGACGTTCAGATAAGCGCTGGCACTTTGAGGATCGCCGATGCCGTTCGTGACTTCGCACAGGTATTGACCGGAGTCATCGGCGCTGACGGGGTTGATGACCAGGCTGCCGTCCATCTTGATGGACACCCTGGTGTCCAGGGCCGAGACCTCCGTGACAGGGGCACCCTCGCGAAACCAGCGCACCGTCACGTTACCCGGTAGGGCCTTCGCCTCGCAGGAGAACTGCACCTTCTCGCCTTCCAGCTTCGTTTGATTCGTCGGCGGCACCATAATAACGGCTCCACCTGTGGATCAATAATATCATTTCTGTCTCTCTCGCCGTTACCCTTTACTTTTTTTCATCCCCTCCACCAGCACCGGGCTCGGGGATTGGAGAAACGCCAGAACGGCGAAATATCGATCATCATGACCGACGAATCTAACGCGACCGATGTTAGTCTCGTAGTAGTAGTATCTATTGCATTATTGTGTGTCCAGAATCCGCGCGACGGCGATTCACCGCTGATATCGGTCGCCTGGCTGTCACCGGCGGAAGTGTCAAAAATAGCCGATAGCTCGGACAGAACGACAGTTCGGGTCGGGTGTATCCAACTCGCTATCGTATAGGACGACAGGATGGCCGGTAGGGTAGGAAGGGAAACAGAATGCTCGCAGCATCTCCATCGATTCTCGATAACATCTCTCGCTCACGCTGCTCGTCGGTGAAGAGCCATGACAGATGGGCAAAGGTACCGTTCTCGGTCGAGAGTGCGGCCAGTCTCGAATTTGCCTTTCGCTTCCGCGACTTCTGCTTCTGCGTCTACCGTTCAACAGGGTGCATCATATCTTCTTCGATATCCAACGTCGTCGTCCACGCCTATCGTGGTCGTAGTCGCGTATTCACGCCCGAAGAATTTCAAAACTTGCAGCTTTGCCCTTGTCGGAAGCTTCGGAAACGAATATCTTGACGTATTATAACGGAAGATCGATTCTTCGTCGCACAATAGATGAAGCTCTCGCTCCCTCCCTCTCTCTCTCTCTCTCTTCCGTTTCGCGTGATTCCGCGGCATTTCCTACAATCCGATCTATCGTCATTCCTCGGGATTACCCTTCTTTTCCGCATTTTTCGTCGCGAAGGTGGTTTGGTTCGCGACGGGATCGAGCGTATGCGTGAGGAATTGTCGGGGAGTTAGCGAGACACCGGATTTCGCGACGAAAGCCTCCGAGATTGTCGACGACCCCGGGCCGAAATTTCGCTTCCGCATAGACCCCGCAGATTCCATCGAACTTGAAGAACAATGCAACTTGCAGGGAGAATTTGCTCCTGGCTAAGTATTTTCCGCAACGCTAAGTTTTCTATCAATTTACGTAGAGGAACGGTTAATGAAAAATAAAATAATATTACTCGCAAAATAAGAATCGGTTCGACGTGGTACGTGGCTACAATATCTCACATGTGCGTTCGCAGGAAAAAACATTTGGTACTTGGGTTGGTAAATCGGTCCTTGTTAAATATGCTTTTGCGTTAAATATTTAACATATCTATGTGTTAATTTAATCTATTGTATTATTTCAATAAATATATATATATATATGCATATTTCTTTTTTGTATTAAGTCGACATTCAACATGTGTGAGTGTTAAAACAACACATTTCTATACTTCAGTGCCGATCAACGTATTGTGAATATCAATTTGCACATTTTCGACCATAATATTTACATTATCTTTCGACATTTGACACAAAATTAAATTTATATTTGACACAAAATTAAATTAACACAAAGTTTGTGCCGGCCGTTTGGGGCGTATGAAGTGCGTTAAATTAAACGCAAAATTGTCTACCGTGTTGAAAACCTGGAATATAAATCCGGTACGTACGTCATTCTGTTTCTCGGACAATTTTATTCTCTTTTATACTCTTACTGGTCATCATCGGGGATCTTCACGATCATTTTCCTTGTTTGGAATTCGCGGAATTAACGAAGAGGCAAAAATTCGATACTCGGGTCACGCCGTGGGGTATACCGTGGAGATTGCGATTGTCGCACGATGATTTTTCACGGTTTCACGTTCGAAGCGACGGCGAGTCCCGGCTGTGCGGAATTCGCGCTGGCGGTACCTCTTTAATTTTCATCGTATCGCATGCAAGTGTGCGGCGCGCACGTTGACGTTCCGTGCGAGAGAAACATTTATTTTTCTGTCTCCCGCGCGACATGTTCCGCTCCGTGATTCGGCCAACAAACTCAGTCGCGCGCGCGCCTTCAACCTCTGCGCTCTTGCATTTTAATTTCGAGCGTGATATTCCAAATCGATGTATATATCGCGAATTCGAGAATTGTTCGTCGGCGCGGTAAACAGAGTTTAGGTGTCGCGCAAACAACGTGCAAATTTATACATACGCAAACGAACACGCCGGCCGGCGTTCCGACCCTGCAAATGTATCGACAGTCGTTTGAGCAATTAAACATTTGGTAGATTATTGCGGTATTTGTTGGCCCCGCTGAGTATATCAACAGATATACGATACCACGATGAAACTCGAGGCAGCGGCAAATGGCTTTTCGGCGAAGCGACAAGTGACAGAGGTACGGTGACAGAAAGAGGAGGCTGTCCGAGGAGGAGTTTCGATCTCGAGTGTAACACGGCCGACCACCGGGCAAAATGGTGGCAAACGCGCCAATCAAGAGAGCCCCGACGACGTCGCGTCGCGCGAGAAATATCGCGTATCGCGGATCCAGCGTGGAAAGCAGGGCAACGATATACTAAGCTCGGCCCGATGTCTGAATATATTACACCTACCCCCGAAGATGCGCCGCAATGCGCGCGGCAATGCGAGCTGCAGTCGGCGCGACGTCGCGGCGCGAATAAATTTGAATCTACGATCTTGATAAACGCACGAAGCTCGCGGGAATGAGAACTTGTTGCCCGTAAAAAAGGAGGAAAGGCGGGGCAGGGAGGGGGGGAGGGGGGAAAGGGAAGAGCGTATTTCCTCGCAATCTTCCGCGCTCGCTCGCTCGGTAGTCCGTTCGCCGTATCCTAAATCCGAGCACGCGCGGAGGAGGGTTTTGCGCGATACCAATCAAACCTGGACGTGCATTACGCCCCGATGGTGTCGGATTCTCTCGCGTTCACGTATCAACTCGCTCCATCCATGCGTATATGCGGGTCCTTTTCTGCTATTTTTCTCGTAGTACATAAGTAGTGACGAGATCCGATTGAATGACGTACTCGTTAACATCGATGTGTACACCGAGAAGAGGATTCCTTCAAATTTCATCAATTTCATCGCATCCAAACAAATTTCGTCAAATTTCATTGGCATGCTCCGAAGAAACTAATGTTTCCATTGATAAGTACGATTTTTAGACGATTTTCCACGAGTATGTATATTTATCTTAGGTAAAAAAAATTTGTTCGAAACGGAAGATAATTTTCTAATAAAGAAATGATTTGTTTCATTTTACATATTCGTCGTGACCGAATCATATTTTATTTCGATATTGTTCCGAGCGTTCTGTCTATTAAATAACAGAGTTTTCCCGAATGAGACGATAAAATTTTCATCCAAACGAATAATATCTCGCATATGTTGTTTCTATGAAACCAATTTTAGCCAAACAAATAGAAATGCTAAATCCAAAGGGAACCTTTTTCTCTGTACATTTCTCTGTGATCTCGCGAACTACGCTTGCTTCTCGCCGTCGTGCACGCGCGCGCGCGATCAACGGAATACATTTTAATTATCCGCGCCGACGATGATATATGTTACGTCACGAGCACAAAAGCTCTCAGAAGGAGGAGATGTTCCGCGGAGGGGGTGAGCAGGCAAGTTCTCAAAGTTCCCGGCGAGAATGAGGCCAATGGAATGCCGAGTAGTCCGCCCTGTGGAAACACGCGACAGCGCGGCGCGCGTGAGGGATGTGTGTGTGTGTGTGCGTGTGCTCTCTCGAGCGGCCGCCGTAAAGTTGCACGCGCGGCGCGCATTACGCGCGCGCGCACGATCGTTAACGACGTGTTGTTTTTACCAACTCGCGCCGGCAATTTCCCACCGATGAACGGGCGCGGTGGTGGTCGATACTTACGCGCGTGCAGTCCTCAGACGAGCGCCGTCCCGATGTTCCATTGTGTTTTATCGTCGTACTCGCGGAAATATTCAAGAGCTTTGAAGCGGCCGAGGAAGAGAGAGGGAGAGAGAGAGAGAAAGCATCATTTATTTAGCGCTCTGGTACATATCCCCTCAAGCGCTATATACGCAGCAATACATAATTATTGGTAGTTACATAATTCGAAATCCGTAAAAGGCTACATATTAATAACGAAAACAACCAGTAAACAAGAAATAATCAAAAAGCTTTCCTAGTATGGCTAGAAAAATACGCAATATTGAAAATTCGCAAAAGAGCATAATAAGGAACAAAATACAATAGCTTCAAAAAAAAAAAAAAAACGTGACGTGAGAAACACGACCTTTCATGGTGTCAAAAAACATTTGTTGACAATGTTACCTATTACTCCGCATAAGGCAGTGTATCAGTCTATACGCTGCCCTAAAAGATATGAGTACAGTGACCTCCTGAAAGACTCACGTGAGCGTGCGGAACGAATCTCGGCAGGCAGTGAGTTCCATGGTAAAGTTGCTGTGGTTATAAAAAAACCGATTAAAGTGTTCGGTGCGACATTGCGGGACAGACGGCAAATTACCAGAAGCTCTAGTACATCTGCTAGATATAACGGATCGGAACGATAGCAGTCCAAAGATATAAGCAGGACGTTGATTTTGTATAACATTGTATATTAGACAGCCTACAAAGTATCGCCTCCGAGAAGCCGTCCGGAGCCAACCTAGCTTATTACAATAGGATGTTATGTGCTCAAATCTGCTCACGCCAAAAAAGGAACCTAATACAAGGGTTTATTGCTCTATCCAGACGCGCCGAATTTTCCATGGTCATGTCGGTTAGAGCAGCACAGCAATAGTCCACATGAGGGTAAATAAGAGATACTATATTATATAATAAGATAATATATAATAAGAGATATTAATCTCCGCCTGAGTTCGACAGGCAGTAAACATCTGTGCAGCTTCAGCTGGTGAAGAGTCTTGTATGTTTTGTTTACTACGTTGGTTACATGCCCCAGGCAAGAGTGTTGGTAATAATAACACCAAATACTTAACGCTAGCCGAGAAATCAATATTCTCGCCGTCGACTACTATGCCCCCCAAAGACCCATAATCGATGCCGCCGCCATGTCTGGCTGTACCAAAAATTATGAGTTTTAGGCGTTCAACATGAGATAATT